GTACGTCATAGACACATTATAACTGTGTGTAATCCTTTTCCTAGTAGACGCATTTCAAAACCATGAGACTAACGGTGATACGTAACGGACTAAAGCGGACAGTATCTGCTAGCGGTGGACTTGAGTTGTTACAAATTAACGTATAAATATCGTGTTTGTTATTGTTCGATGAAACTATATGGATGCGGTGTCGTACCGTGCTATGTGGAGCGAGCATTTTGTAACTATGTGATGATTATGTAAAACAAGATCCGTGATATAGATGAATTTATTACAACGGAAAATTCTAGGACTAAGGCTATCTCTATTCATTGTTTGAAATTATCGTGTGAGACCCATAAAATAAAATAAAATAATGTTGTGTCAAATGTTGAATGGAAAGAGTATGTACTACCGCAGTGCTAGAAATTTCTCTAGTGTACAATTAGAGGAGTAATCGTGTCAGATCTCACATCGGTTAGAGAGAGAAACGAGTTCCTTCTAAGGGTGTGAAAACTTTAAGGGCAAGCCCAAAAGATAAAGTCCAAAGAGAACAATATCTACTAGTAGATTTGGACTATGACAGATGATATAGGAGCTATACATCGGACGATGTGCCAGCGAGGACGCTAGGCCCCCAATAGAATTGGATTGTGAGATCTCACGTCGATCGGAAAAGAGAATGAATCATTCCTTATAAAAATGTGAAAACCTATTCCTAGTAGACGCGTTTTAAAATCTTGAGGGAAAGGAGATATAAATCAAATATTCTTTATAATCTCTATCCTCGTAACTTTCTTAACGTTAACTAGTTGAACTATAATCTAATTATAAGATCTCACATCGGTTGGAGAGAGGAACGAAACATTCTCCATAAGGGTGTGCAAACCTCTCCCTAACATATGGGTTTTAAAAACTTTGAGGAAAAGTCTGACTATTACACCAATTAAGAGGGACGGACTTCGAGTTGGTGAGATCTAACTCCTTGGTTGGTCAATGCTCCCAAGAGACGTAAAGGTGTCCGACCAGGAACGTTAACGAGTGTCGAAAATTTCCACAAGAACAAACAAGATGGTGACAGGGGTCATTGACTTGCCTAAGAAGTGGCATCTTTGGTGCCTTCCAAGCCCCATCTTCTCAAAAAAATGCTATCATCATAACCTAATCAAACTCAATTCATAGCTCAATTATATATTAACTTCTTCAACCAACCACCGCCCACAACAACCACTTTTCTTTTTCCCTTTTGCTCTCCTCTTCTTCTTCACCAAATTTCTTCACAATCATGAACATGAAGTTGCCTCTCCCTGCTCTGTTTGCTGCTCCTCTTGCCTTCTTCTTCTTCGCCGTTGCCGCTGCCGATCCCGATCTTCTTCAAGACGTTTGCGTCGCAGATCTTGCTTCAGGTACCTACTCTTCCTCTTCCCCAATTTCCTTGTTCAAGCTCTGTTCCTTCAAGTTCTTGAAGGTTTTCAGGGTTCTTCTGGGTTTTCATTTGTTCATAGGTGGATAAAGGGTACAGGGTTTTTGCTTTGGTTTTCATTCAAAATGTCTCCATGTTCTTGATGTTCTTGATGTTCTTGATGTTCTTGAGCTAGAATTGAATTTGATCTTGTTTTCATTCGAAATGTCTGAAGATATCAGGAAATTCAGATTGATTCGAAGGATCTCCTCTGTTCTAATCCATGTTTAAGATCAGAAAAAATCATATGCCCTAATTTATACCAGCATTCCCAAACAGTTTATATTTCCAGATCATGAACATTTTAACATTTGAATCAAATCAGGAATCAAGGTAAACGGATTCACCTGCAAGTCGAATTTCTCAGCAAACGATTTCTTCTTCGACGGATTGGCCAAACCAGGCGCCACGAACAATAGCCTTGGCTCGCGAGTAACCGGCGCCAATGTCCAATCAATCCCCGGCCTGAACACACTCGGCGTCTCCCTCTCGCGGATCGATTACGCCCCTGACGGCCTTAATCCACCGCACACGCATCCACGCGCCACCGAGATCGTGTTCGTCCTCGATGGCGAGCTCGACGTCGGCTTCATAACGACCGCTAATGTCCTCGTCTCGAAGTCGATCAAGAAGGGCGAGATCTTCGTCTTCCCCAAGGGATTAGTCCATTTCCAGAAAAACAACGGCAAGGTTCCGGCGGCGGTAATTTCGGCGTTTAACAGCCAGTTGCCTGGTACTCAATCGATTGCGGCGACGCTTTTCGCCGCATCTCCGCCGGTGCCTGATAATGTTTTGACGAAGGCGTTTCAGATTGAGACAAAAGAGGTCAAGAAGATCAAATCCAAGCTTGCTCCGAAATAATAGAGCAAATCAATGGAGGTTTCTGTAAATTGAAGATTGTATTTGGATTTCTGTTCTTTTTTTTTTTTCACTGATTGATCGAGTAAGAATTAGGATTTGGGGATTTGTTTTTCTCCTGTTTTTTTCAATTGGGATCATTTTTTTCACTCGTGTTTTATATAGTTTTCTTCCGTTATTAGCATGAACTCGATCACCCTAAACAAAGTTAGGACGACCTTTTCTTGTCATTTGGCGGGATAATTGCTCCGAACAAGCTAAAGAACCATCCCTTTTTCAACCCTAAAAAAAAAGTTCAATATTTGAAATATATTGGTTTAGAATCGACTGAGTTGTTTGTTCTTAGAACTATAGTCATTCCCACCTCCTCGTGCCAATCCCACGAGTCAACCGTTCATGCTTCATTCCATGCTTTCATCACTAACATTTATCACGGAGTGGAAAAAGAGAGAAACTCGAAACCAAAAATAAATATTGTCAAATTAATATATTTTGCCGATACGATCAAAAGACTCAAAACCAACGAAGAACGAAGAACGAAGAACTGTTTCAAAAATTTATCTATGAAAGTGGAAAGGAGCAAGGCAACATACCCAAAGAACAATGCCAAAACCTCCAAAGAAAAGGCACCAAACAAACAGAGGAGGAGGCAACATTCTAAAGCAGAAAGAGCACCAACCAACCACAGGGTATCAAAAGCAACCTCCAGCCAACCAAAACTGACTTAGCACCAGAAACCCAACAACCCAAACAGAAGAACTAGGTGGTGGCTCCATAACAATAGCTTGAGAAGAGGGATCACCAATCCAAATTGGTTATCATCAAACAAAGAACAAACATCTACAGAAAATTCTCCATCGTCTATGCACATTTTCTGAATCAATGCTGTAATCACTAGCAATGCCCTCATTGAAATCCTCCTCGGCTTCGTTCTCGACCGAAACTTTTTGGGTCGCTAGTTGAATGAACAAGGGAAAAGGGATGGTTAAGGCCAGATGCTTGAATTAAACTTGCGGGCATTTTGTCACATAGCAATGAATGAGAATAAGTGTAACCGTCCAAGCTCACCGCTAGAAGATATTGCCCGTTTCGGCACGTTATGTATCGCCGTTAGCCTCATGGTTTCAAAACGTATCTACTAGGGAGAGATTTCCACACCCTTATAAGAAATGTTTCGTTTCCCTCTCCAACCGATGTGACATCTTACAATAAGGCTTCTCAGAAACTCGAGACAAGTTAAGTCAAGAATTTGATGAAACGTTAAAATAAAAAATCTAAGTTCCGCCATTTTCTAACTCAATCCAAAATATAACTAGAATTTGTATTTTCATTCTTAAGGTGAACTTTACATTCTTAAGGTGAACTAACCATAAAGGAGAGGAAAAAATGGGCATGTATTTGCCATCAGCTTAGCCCCTTAAAAAAATCATTTGTTGGTTTAAGATCACAATGGCCCAAGTCCATCGCTAGCAGATATTGTACTTTTTGGACTTTCCTTTTCGGGCTTCCCCTCAAGAGGACAAAATCTGCACCTAAAACAAGCCGCTACCGTTCCACTGCAACCATTCGACCCAAAGAAGAAAATATCTGCTAGCGGTGGGCTTGGGGCATTACAATAAGTATCACTAGCGAAGTTTCTAGCATACTATCAACTTAACTTCCATGAACTAAAACGGGGCGATGAAGAAGAACAGCAGACTAAGTTGTCCAATACAAGTCTCGATTTTTCGTACATATAAAATAGGAGACACAAGTGCATAATACTTGATCTTTCTGTAGATAAGCAAAGGGTGTTGTAATCACTATAGTTGTTCATAAGTAGAGAGCCTCTAGCTTTAAACATTCAACATTGATGTTACTCGGTCCGAAACATTAAGGATATCGTACACAAATAACATCGTCGGATCATCCAAAAACAATAAAAAAAAAAATTGTAAAACTCCTTCAAGAACTGTAGAACTCAATCTGAATTTTCAAATGTCAAAAGTGAGGATTGAAGACTTGATGCTCAGTAAAGTTAATTTGGTCAATATATTCCGGCTATGAACATACATCATCAATAGGATACTATCTAATAAACCAAACAGACTGCCAGTCTCACCAAACACACAATTTCTCTCATTTGCATAGCAGAGAACTGATCAAATCTGTCAATCCATGAACAACATTAAACTACTGAACACAGAATAGAATCGTCGAGTTCATCCGGGACACGACAAAAAAACGTAAAACTCCTTCAATGATCATAGAACTCATACTCAGATTCGCATATGACAGAAGTATGGAATGTAAAGTAAAGCTAATTTGGTCAACATATTCCTTTGGAGTATGCATTCCAACTATGAACATATATCAATAGGCTACTATCAAATAAACTAAACAGAACGCCAGAGCTTCACCAAACACTAAATTTCTCCTATTTGCTTAGCAAACAAGAGAAGATTGTGGGGAAAAGTTGATCAAATCAATCAATCCGTGGATAACAATTCGTTACATACCTCAACAAGCAAAACCCAATTGAATTTAATGTTTTCGTCCAGTGCCCATATGAACATCTACAAACAAAAACCATAGGAATATCATCAAACTTCATGAACTATCAAGTTTAATTAAGAACAGGAAAGATGAATGAATACCCAAGTGAGGATTGGATTCCTTGGAATAGAAATCATTCTTCTCAATAAGAACTTTCAACATTTGATTAGTGAACTTCCGGTGATTAGGATCAGTCGGAGGCCCATTCTTAGGATCTGAAATTGAAAGTTTCATGAAACAGAAACCACAGCCCTGATTAACGCTTCCATCAAAAACCATTTTATCGGAAGAACTTGTTCTTCTATTACAATCAACAGAAGAAGACGAAGAACAAGAAGAAGAATCTCTCTTAATCCTCCGCCGAAGAATCTGTTTCTTCGCCTTTCGAAATGGATACAACATCACTCGTTTCGCCTTTCCAAAACCCTTCTGTTTACCCAAATCAGGCGCGATAATTTGGGCCTTCGCCATACTTTTACGACGCTCATCGTCTTCATCATCAGCATCGTCATTAACACCACTACAACCAACATCTGAGAGATGATTCTCAGCATTTCCTGATTCCAACATATATAAATGTAAAATCCCAAACCGAAGAACAAGAAAAAAGGGAGAAAACGAGGATTGGGATTGAATTGAAATGAATTTCTTCGAAAATACGAATTGGATTGCGCTTGTTTTCCTGTATACTGTGAGAATCAGAACGCAATTTGTTTGTGAAATCAAAAAATTGAAGCCTCCAAGTGAGGTGGGCGTTCGATGAACAGAGGCAGGTGGCGCCAAGTTTATGGAACGGTGAGTGATGGGCTAATTGGTAATTTCCAGGATGATTTTGCTATTTTGTTCCTAATTTATAAATATATCAATTTATTTAAACATTTTTATATTATATAAATAATAAGTTTATTTAAATTTTAAATTTTAAATTACATAAAGTTTAAATATAACTATTTAAATAAAATAGGGTAATAAAAGAAAATAATAATTATGTTTTGTATTAAAAGTAAAATAATTAATAAAATAAAATTGTGAGCGAGAAAGAGTAATTAATTGAAATGGGGTGAGACCTCGGGAATAAGAATGAAATTCATATTGATGAAGTTTTAGATCGGGATTCAGACTAGAGCGATGAGCTCTACTGGTTGATTTTATTTAGGCATTTTAGTAAACAACATTCATGAAAATGAAAGTTTTTATTCTCGTTCTTGAAATAAATGGGACGTGAAGCCAACCATTACAACTAAAGGGATCAAATTGAAGCTAAACTTAAATCACGAGTAAGATGAAGCATAACTTACACTGCAAGCTGTTTCTTAGTGTCTTGACGTCAAAAATTCGATAAGCAATTTGAAATTCATTTTTGTGACACCCGAGTAAAGGAAGGGTACATGAATGAACCAAAACCACATCTAAGTGAGAGTGATCATGAGGATAGGATGACTAAGAAAGACTTAATAAGCGTTACTCGGATGTCCCAAACCACCGTTTATAAGGGTGTGGAAACCTTTCCCTAGAAGACCCGTTTTAAAGCCTTGAGAGGAAGCCCAAAGAGGACAATATCTGTTAGCGATGGATCTGGGCGGTTACAAATGGTATAAGAGCCAGACACCGGACAATGTGTCAGCATTCTCGCTGTTCTCCGAAGGGGAGGTAGACACGAGGCGGTGTGCTAGTAAGAACCCTAGGCCCCAAAGGAGGGTGGATTTGGGGGCGGTCCCACGTCGGTTGGAGGAAGGAAAGAGTGACAGCGAGGACGCTGGGCGCCGAAGGGGTGGATTATGATGTCTCACATTGGTTGGGGAGGAGAACAAATCACCATTTATAAGGGTGTGGAAACCTTTTCTTAGAAGACGCGTTTTAAAGCTTTGAGGAGAAACCCGAAAAGGAAAACCCAAAGAGGATAATATCTACTAGCGGTGGATCTGGGGCGTTACAGTTACTGTCTCTACCAAAAAGATGTACATTTCTTTTCGATGACTCAATTATAGAAACTTCATGGTTAAGCGTGCTCAGAGAATCTTTAAAGCAATTTTAATATTCAAAAGAAAATAATTATCTTTTTAGACTAAGATATGATATTATTTTTTTAGAGTATTACATAAAAAAATAAGATAAATCTGTTTCGTTTGAATAAAAATTATTTAAAGCAATTTTAATATTCAAAAGAAAATAATTATCTTTTTAGACTAAGATATGATATTATTTTTTTAGAGTATTACATAAAAAAATAAGATAAATCTGTTTCGTTTGAATAAAAATTATTTTTCTTGTCGTTACTTAAAATTTTTAAATTTTTATTTTAAAATTTGAATTGTACAATTTTTATTTATTTATTGACGGTTTGAAATTAGGGATGATCATCGAGAACCCGACAATAGATTTTGAACTCAAACCGACACCGATTGATCTAATTTTACAATCGCTTTTTTAAAAGTAGATAGTAGTAGTGGTAGTCGTGCCATCCATCAATTTTTAACTAAAGAAAGGTGAAAAAGGAGAAGAAAAAAAACATAGAAAAAAGAAAGAAAAGCCTCCTACAAGATTTAACTTTTTCTTGTTGGTGGGTCGTTTCGATCAAATTGACTCCGACCTTTAATTGGTTAGATTTCTCGATCGTTATACTCACCTCTACTCAAAAAAAAAAAAAAAAAAAAACTGGACGGGAC